GACTCAGCTGCATCCGGGGGAGATGCCAGGGCAGTGACTCACCTACCGAGAAGAGCTGAGCCTGGCACCTTGCCAGCCCCAGGACAGAAGTGACTTAGTCACCAAGACTGTAATGCCCAGCAGGCACAGCCCAGGGATTGGGGACAGGGGCAGGCTGCGTCCTCCATGGCTACAGGCGCCCCCTGGCGAAGAACAGGCGTCCCAGGGCCGTGGCTGTGCCCGCCCCTGCCCTCCCCCCCCATCACGGCCCACCCCCAGCTCACCAGGCCCTGTTCCAGTGCAGACAAGTTTTGTGAGACCCCTAGGCTGCCCTGCCCCCCTGCGGCCTGCCCCCTGCCCATCACTCACCACCCACTCTCCCACCAGCCCCACCTCCTCCTGCCACCCAAGTTGTACCCGGGCTATGCGGCTCCTTTAACATGTCCTGGCAGCACCTCCTGCCCCCACAGCCCTTCTCCACCCCCAGCGCACACACATGCACTCACACTTCTGCCAGCCCTGCTTCAGCCAGCAGCTGCTGAAGCTGTTGAACAGGAGGGGAATGGGGGGGGGGTGCGGGGATTGGGTTACCAGAGGCTGATGGGGTGGGCTGTCACCCAATCCCTCCCCAGCTAGTCCTCCCTGGGCACAATCTCCCTCACCCACCTGCTTCCCCCCACCTCTGGCTGGCAGCCTACTGCCCTTTAAGCCCCTCCACCCCCACTCCACCCAAGCTAGAAAATAAATGTTCAAAAGTATTTGTCATGCTAAGGCCAGCCCAGTCTAGGAGAGAAAGGGAGAATAGAGGGAGAGAGACAGAGATGGACAGAGTCATTCCTGCGCTCGGTGCCCCAGCCACAACCCACAACCGCTAGGTGTGTAGTTCTCCGTGTACGTGGAGCTGGAAAGGGACTGAGTAACTCGCCAAGTCCCAGGAGAGTGGGGGGGGGGGCCCAAGGGGAGTCGACAGGCTGAACAACCTCAATCCATTTGCGCTATTGATTTCTCACACACTGCAGCAGGCCTGATGGAGGGGGGGCATGATAAATCAGCCCCCCAGAGACAGAGAGACTGAGTGGAGGAGGGGGAGGGGCTCCTGTGCCGCAATTTGTGGCCCACTGCGCTGGGCTTGGGGGGGAGGGGGTGCGCAACAGAGGACTGGGAGACACGGAGTGGCAGGAGGTGGGGGGGGCATGTTGGGCCCAAGCCTACCTGGAACACCTCCTTCCAGCTGCCTCTGCAGCTGATTGGAAGAAAGAAGGTGGAGGACAGAAGCGCCACCTCTGGCTCCATAGGCAGGGCCCTGAACAACTCCAGGGGGCGCCACTCCCAGCATAGTCCGTGTACAACATGGCGGCCCTGGGGATGAGGCCGAGGCAGGACACTGAATTCTGAGGGACCATAATTCTCCACTGAACTTTCTCCTGAAGTTCAACCAGCCGCCCCTGCCCCCAGGCCTCAGAGGAGACTTCACTTCTGACTTCTGACTGGAAGCCTGTGGTAATCTACCCACTCTTCGGCCTGCTCCCCTCCTTCGTTGGGGGCACTGGCAAACAACCAGAAGGACCTAGGCGGGGCAGGATGGGGGCTCTGGAGATCCTGCAAAACTACATCCTAGTCCTTGGTCTGTCCTCAACTCTTCCTAGGACTGTGGACAAATCCAGGCCCTCTCTGGGTCTCTAAGATGGAAGAAGACCAGATGCCCCTTCCCTAAGGTGTCTCCAAGCCCAGGCTCATCAGCCTGTGAGCCTGTTGGAAGATGCCCAGCACTTTGATTCACACCAGTGGCCACAGGCCACTGAAACAAACCCCAACACTTGACCTCCTTCCAGCCCGGACACAGGCTCTCTCCACACGGTGGAGATTTATAAACAAACCAAGCTGGGGTTTACCAGAGACCCTGCATAAACAGGCAGAGAGGGAAATAGACCAGTAGGGGAGGGAGGCACAACCAGGTGCCGTGAGGGACCCCGACAGGAGAAAATCGGCGCAAGGGGTCTGGGTTGGGGCCCCAGTGCAGACCGAGGACTGGTTGAGTGTCCTAGGGCAAGAGACATCCCCCTGGCTAGGCCTGTCTGCCCCTCTGTAACGGGGAGGGATTGTCTAGGCAGTCCCTAAAGCCCCTTCCGGTTCTAAGTCTAGTAGGACAGAGAGCCCTGAGGGGTCCCCAGGATTCCTCCGCCCAGCCTGGCCCATCTACCTGGGTCAGGACCATCTCTGCAAGGCCCTGCCCCAGCCTGACGCGCCTCTCTGCCCGGTCTGCTGCCCCTCTGGCTCTTCCTCACTCCTCCGCCTGCCTGCTCACCCTCACCTTGGCCAGTCCCTCTGCTGCCCCGTGCTTTTCTGCACGTCCCTCCTGCCAGGGGACAGACCAACTAAAAATAGTCCCTGTAGCCTTTCTCGCCCACAGCTGCCCAAAGAGCAGGAAATGAGGGGGGCAGGGAGGCCCATGTCCTGCTCTCCCCCATAAACTCCCAGCTCCAAACCAAGTCCAGCACTCCAGCCTGGGGATCCTGCCAACTTGGCCATCTCAGGGGCATCCCACACCCCTTCCCTAGGGGGAGGCCTGCCCATAAGTGCCTACAATCCTAGAGCTGTCCCTGCCCTCCAAGAGGAGGAGAGAGGAGGCAAGCAGTCTAGAGGGAAACCTTCCCAATTTCTGACAAATCAGTGCCAACCACATTGTGGGCACTGAGAGGGCAGGGCCTGGCTCCACTGACTGGTCTTTTAAGGGCAGAGGGAATTGGCATGGGGAAGTTTGTGCTGGTTTCCTTCATCCTGGCCCAGCTGGAGAGAAGACAAAATAGTGCCCTAGCCTCAATGATGCTAATCCCCTGTTCCCCAAAATGTGTGGGTACAGACATAGGGGTTTCAATGGCCACCCCCAGATACCATGGGGAAAAAAAGCTAAAAAGAAGAGCAGAAGATCTTGGCTGTCCAAGATCCTTGGCTGGAGGCGAGAACAGGCCATGCCTACCAGGCAGGACATGTGCTGCCCCCAAGCTGAGTTAGAGGCGAGAAGGGAGGAGCCGGGGTGCTGCGCACAGGGGCTGTGGCACCCCACCCCTATCCCACCTGGGATTCTTGACGCCTCCCAGCCCAGGGAGAAGGCCCTCCCCACACAGGAGGAAGGAAACCAGCTTAGGGACTCTCTGGAGGCCTGCAGGGCAGCCCTGCACCAGGAGGCAGGCGGGAAACCCAGGAGTCCTGGCGCCCAGCCCAGAGAGTGAGTGAGAGAAATACCTTGGAGGGGAGGAAATGGCCCACAGTGAGGCAGACACACGGTGCCCCCAGCAGCTCCCAGATGTGACCCGTAAGGGGAAACTGGCCAAAGGGGCTGGATGGGGAAAGTGAACACATTTCCCAACAAGAAGAGAGAAGAAAGTGGGGCCATGGGGACGGGGGAGGGGGCAGGGCAAGCCTGGTTCTCACCCGCTGTCCTCTCCTCCAGGTCACGGTCAGAGATAGCGACATTAAGGCCACCAAAGATCAAAGAGGTCCTGGGGTTTCCCCCTCCCCTAATCTTCATTCCTTGCGTCCTCTGGCACCCCTTCCCCGGGGCCAAGCCAAGCCTGGAGTCCGTGGGCCCAAGGTGGTGCCTGGGAGGCCTGGACAGTGCCAGGGGCAGCCCTCATACCGGTCCTCACACTGGCTTCCCTCCCGCCTGCTCTCAGCCGTCACACAGATCTCAGCTGTCCAATCCGATTAGGGCCCCTGTCCAGTGAGCCGGACAAGGAGGCCACTGGGCAGGGGAGACGGGGACAAGGACGCTGAGCAGGAATGGCAGAAGGAAGGTAGAGACAGGGCTCAGGGGGAGAAGGTGTGGAGCCCCAGACGAAGAAAATCCTGGTGGAGAGATCTGTCCTCTCTGACCACAGGCTCTCTGGCGACAGCTACCACCTGCATTAGGGTAATTCCGCAGCCCTGGGGGCAATGGCCTGCCTGGTTCTGCCATCCCACAGATGGGCATGGATGGGGGAAGGAAAGCCAAGGCAGAGAGACTGACCTAGATTTAGGAAGAGAATCCCGTCCTAGAAGTCCCACTCTTCCCCCCCTAGCCATAACTACCATTTGCACTGGTCTGTCTGATACATTGTCTTATGGGGTCTTTATTTTGGTGTCGCTATCAGGCCAGTGGGGCTTGCTACTGATAGCCATTTTTACAAATGAAGAAACTAAGTCAGCTGTCTTCCTGGTGTGGGCCTCACTGAAATAAATTATTTTCCTGTCTCACCAAAACAACAACAAGAAAGAAAGAAAGAAAAGAAAGAAAGAAAAGAAAGAAAGAAAGAAAGGAGAAAGAAAGAAAGAGAAAAGAAAGAAAGAAAGAAAAGGAAAGAAAGAAAGAAAGAAAAGGAAAGAAAGAAAGAAAGAAAGAAAGAAAGAAAGAAAGAAAGAAAGAAAGAAAGAAAGAAAGAAAGAAAAAGAAAAGAAAGAAAAAAAGACTGAGTCTTCAGTATAAATGCACATACCCACTCACGGTCAGAATCTCTGCTTCCTGGGTCAAGAGCAGAATTAGGTCTGAAGTCGCTCCATTATCCACCCTTTCCTCCAAAACCAACCCTTAGGGGACCTGGGGAGTCATGGAGAGATGCAAAGCACACCCCATACCCCGACAGAGTTACCAGGTGGGGACATGCCGCCCACTCCACCAAACAGAGAGCTAGAGGGGTTCCCCAAAAGCGTGACCAGTCTTTCCTATCACTCTCTTCCCCAGTCAGCTCCGCTCAGAGGCAATACACACATTCACACGGTTACTCAGACAAGTCCTACACCCCTCCTGCAAACCCACTAAACCAGAATGAGATGCCCTAGATCTTCAGAGAGCAGGCTTTGTCAGCCCCCAACTGGAGGGAAAAATCAGCCACTGTAAACAGTAGGTACCGTTCAGCCTTTTCCCAGAGAGCCTGCAGGAGGGCAGAAGCTTCAGGGACACCACCAGGAGCCTGAGGCTCTGAAAGCCAAGGAACCCAGGGAGCTGGCATGGCTGGGTGGCCTCCCAGATCTGGTCCACACCCCCTTCCCCAGCCATCTGGGCTGAGCCTGTTCTGGCCTGGGCACACTCTGGGACCTGTCGCCTTCAATGCACACAGCCACCTTTATCCAAAGCTTATAGATCTTAAAACCACATGGTCCACACCACACACACACACACACACAAACACGGGGGCGGTGGGGGACTTTGCAATAGGTGCTGAGGTCTTGGCAGGGATGGGGGCTCTAAGCTGAAAGAACTTTCCCTAGAGGAACAGGTCGCCAAAAACCACTCACAAGCTCCACTGCCCTCCAGCAAAGCCTTTAGCCATCCAAGTGTGAGAGGAGCCTGGAAAGGGGTATTAGGTCCCCTACAAGGTGAGTAGGGAGCTGGGGGGCTGCCGAAGTCCCAAGCTCTTGGGGCTGGGAGGCCGGGAGGAAGCCCGAGAGAAATCCCCCAGGGAGGCTCGGGTCCCTCTCCCGCTCGGTCAGCTATCGGCCGGCACTGCCAATTCCACCCGCCGAGGTGAGGTGGGGGAAGGGGCATTAAGCAATACTGCAAAGGAGGGTGCAAGGGCGTGGGGCCTGGGCAGACCTTCCCCCCACTTTCCATTCTTAGCCTGAGATCCGGCAGTGCCTGGGGGGGAGTGCAGGAAGGGCGCTGTGGGGCGCGGGGGCTCCGAGCTCTCAGACACCCCACTGTTCCCAGGCCCCCACCTCCCAGGACCACAGGGAGCGGTGGGGGAGGAGGGATGGGGAAAGCCTGAACTGGCGAGAGGGAAACGACCAGATCAGCAGCGGGGAAGCCCGACGGAAGGCGGCCGAGGGGGAGTTGGGAAGGGGTGCGCGCGGTCCTACCTGCTCAGGTGCTTGCTGGCAGGGGGGCGATGGGGTTCCCAGGAGAACCGGGGAAGCCCTCTCAGCTCGATTCAGGATTCCCCCCAGCTTCTGGGTTAGGCTGCTGCAAGAGGCACGGGTTCCCGTTGGGTCCTAAAGCCCACTCTCCAGAGAGGAGGCTCTCCCCGCCCTCTTCCACCCTCCCTGACTGGGTCAGCGGGTACAGAGCTGACTGATGGGGCAGAAGGAACTCACTGGGAGAAAGCCGGCGGTCTGAGTCATGGGCTGGGGACCGGAACAGTCCTCAGTCTCAAATACACAGCACAGGGATGACTTTAGCCGAGGATAGGATAATATTCAACAGGAGGAAAAAGACATTTCTTCCTGCCTGTCCCCAGCGGATTATTTGGGCTTTGGTGCTGAAGATGGGGGTTAAGATTTCCTTCCTTATCACTTCTGCTAAACCACCTAGCCATTGAGAATTTGGGGATAGAGGCATTCATTTTGGACAGGTGCTCACTCCTATCCTCCCCCTCATAGACATAGCACAGTCTGCAGATCCCTCCTCACTATTCCTAAATACCTAGGAGGCCACCCAGGGGAGGAGGGGGGCGATTCCCCCAGCCCCACCCCCAGCAAATTACATGGCAACAGGGCGGTGAGACATGGATGACAGTTGGAGACTTGTGTAGTTTCGTACCCTGGCGGGGGTGTGTGGACCTGGGAGTGTGTCGGAAGTGGGCAGACATGCACAAACAGGTGAGAGTGTGAGCAGGTGGAGCTGGGGGACTTTGAGTTACACCCATCACCAGAAAGGGCAATTGTCAATGGAAGAACGAGATGTAGAACCTAGGGGTCCACTAGGGCCCTAGTGCTGCTACCCAGCCCTGAATAGGATCCTGAAACTTTACCAGAATGAATACGGTAAAGAAAGAGAATCTTTTCCCAGGTATCATTTGGGATAAATATAGGGGGCAGAGGGGCCTCTTAGCACAATTAGATCAACTTCAAGGTTACAGACCCAGTTTAGGACAGACGATCTTCTCAGCAGCTCAAAAGGAGGCACTGGGGTTTGGGTCTGGTGAGCCAGGGAAAGATGGATGGGAGGGCTGCAGAGGGCTGGAGTGAGAATATTTTGCAAGGAGAGTTGCACAGATCTCCAGCAGCAGAGCAGGGAAAGTGTCATGGGGTGAAGGGCCGGGGGAAGTCAGGGACTGATTCGAGGGCAGGAAGAAAGCATGGCCTAGAAGGGGAGAGGGCAGCCGTGTTGCATCTACCTCTTTCTCGGTCTTTCAGGAAGAACTGAGGAAAGGAGCCAGATAGGAAGGATGGAGGCCCCAGGGTGGAGTCCATGGGGTGAGCTCAGGTCAAGCCTTTCTCCCTAACGTGCCTCAGTTCCCTCCCAGCTGTTAACCAGGGCTCTTGGTTCTTCCCAGGCAGTTAATGAGTGTTTACAAAAGAACTTGGAGATCCTCAGATCTCAGCTGGGCCGCCACAACAGTTATAAAGCCCAATAAGGCCGAGTGTTATTTGGAGAGGGGAGGAGTAGGGCAACAGGGAAACAGACTACTCTCTTACAAACTAAGGATAAAACCAAACTCAGAGAGGAGCACAAGCCTCAGCTGCCACAGGATATCCTGGTGCCCAGGGATGGAGGTCACACACCCCAGTACCTCCAACCACCACCAAAGGCTGGCCTCCAGCTAACTGCAGGCAGAACCCAGACTAGCAGCTGGTCTTCATTAACTCTAGCTTTTTTTCACCCCCCACAGTGAACCCATGGCTTCTACAGGCCTAGGCTAGAGGGGGCTGCCCTAGCCCGACCTTGCAGCTGACTCGGGGGTGGGGGTGGGGGGCACCGCACCAAAGGCCAAGTCACCAGCTGAAAATAAAGTAGAAGCAAGATTCCCTTTCCCCATCAGGAGCAAGGAGAGAGGAAAGGAAGGAGTGTGGGGATGAGAGGGTGGAGGTGGGGGAATTTAGGGCAAACAGCAGGCAGTGAAGTCAGCTGGATTGAGGCCCAGAAACCCCCACACCCTGGGGCCAAGTCTTACTCCAGCTTTGCTTTCAGCTTGAGTCTTGGCTAGGCCCCAAACTAGGGAAGGCCCTGGCTGCCCCTTTCCGCCTCCCTACCCCCACCCTTATTAAATACACATTTTATCTCTCAGCATCTTCATTATCTTAACTGAAGGAGACAAGCAGTGGATGGCGGCAGCGGCAGCGGAGCGTCGGGAGAGGGGGGCTGTGCGGGGAGCAGGCGCACCCTTGTTATAAAGTGCTGATCTAGCTCTTTCAGGCAGTGTGGGAAACAGAGGAGGGATCAAAGAGAGGGAGGCTGATTCAGAACGCAATTAGAGCTTTTTTAAAAAGGAGCTGGCTCTCTCCTTTCGCCAGTCTTCAGACAGCCTCTACCTAGGCCCCTTGCACCCAATTAGCTTCTACTGCCAGTTCCTTGGGGCTGGGGTTGAAAATCAAGGGAGGCCAGAGGGCACACCTTCTCCCCCTACAGAATGCACTTCTGAGAAGAGGGAGAACTGCGCTGTTTGCAGCTTTACAAGAGAATGTATTAGAGGGTACCTTACATTTTCAGGAGGAATCCGAGACCACAACTTCCCTCAGGAGTTAAAAAGTGGGACACCAAAGGTGTGTTCCTCCCCAATCCCTTTCCAATGAGAGGCACAGCTTCTGGCCAATCTCTGGGGACACTAGGAACCTCCAGACAGGCCCCCATCTTCCCAGCCCACGGGTAGGACTAGGACTGTCCCCAAACCCAAGGCTTCCTGGGAGCAACATGGAAGTTGCCTCAAGCAAAATGCCACTACATCAGGAGCGATGGGTACGCATCTGTGAGGCCAATAAACGCTCCACAATGTCAAGACACATCTTGTACAATGGAGCGCCCTTCCTTTACAGGGGCCCACTCCACCTCCGTGCAGAAACACCAGCAACGTGTACCTCCTGAAGAGAACCGACCCGGAGATGGAGGGAAAAGCAGCGCCTTCCTCAGTTCATTTGTCCAGTCATTCAACAATCGTTTACTGAATACCTACCAGGTCCCGGACACTGTCCTAAGTGCTGGGGACAGACACAAATGTAAGTAACATCTCAAACTTGGCTCTTTCTTTTGGTCTCCGTCGGTAGTCAAGGCAACACCTCTCAACAGATATTTTTGAAAATCCCCAAGATGTATCTCCATCCTCCCTCCCTTCCAGGTCTCATTGGTAGATTTTTTTTTTTTTTTAAGATTTTATTTATTTATTTGACAGAGACAGCGAGAGGGAACACAAGCAAGGGGAGTGGGAGAGGGAGAAGCAGGCTTCCCGCAGAGCAGGGAGCCCGACGCGGGGCTCCATCCCAGGACCCTGGGATCATGACCTGAGCTGAAGGAAGCGCTTAACGCTTAACGACTGAGCCACACAGGCACCCCTCATTGGTAGATTTTTTTTAAAGATTATTTATTTATTTATTTGGCAGAGACAGTGAGAGAGGGAACACAAGCAGGGGGAGTGGAAGAGGGAGAAGCAGGCTTCCCACGGAGCAGAGAGCCCGATGCAGGGCTCGATCCCAGGACCCTGGGATCATGACCGAGCGGAAAGCAGACACTTAACGACTGAGCCACCCAGGCGACCCTCATTGGTAGATCTTAAAAGGCACTTAATAAAGGCAGGGAGCAATGGAACGGGTGGGAGGGTGGGTAGCAAATAGAGCTCTGCCAACATTTTTGATCTCTGGGAAGCCCGGACCTCACACACTCTTCCCAGTTAGTTATCTAGCCACAGGCAAGTCTTCACTGAGCCAGAAATGTCAGTGGCAGCTCTGGGGTTGAAACTCACACCAAAATTTTATTGCGTCTATGTTCTTTCCATGGCAGTACCCACTAACATTCTATGGAAGCTTCATCTGCTTCTTTGAAGAAAAATAAATCAGGATATAGACACACACCCCACCACCTTCAAGAGGAAGAATGTGGGTCAGCATCTTCGCCTCTACTCCATGTGAAACAGGCTACGATCCTGGCAGAAACCAGTAACCACAAGCCCAGCCCATCCTTCTAAAAATCCCACTAGCTTCCCATAGCTCTGAGCTTCAGTGAGAAAAGCCAGCAAGAAAAGGACTTTTCTTCCTCTTCTGTCTGCTCCCTGGCTATGTGAATTACCCTTAAGACTTCACTGACAAACATACATCAGCTTTTGCTCCCACAAGGGCAGCGGAAGCCAAGCAGGGACTCTAAGTCTGCTTCACGCATCATTGACAGAACCAACCCTGCTCCAATTGCTGAAGTCTTAAGAGCAGCAATGACCTAGAAATTGACAGTGGGGGGAGAACTGAAGGAAAGGAAACTAACAACCCAGTACAGAGAAAACCCTATTTCCAAATACCAGGGGAAAGGGGGAGAAAAGAGGTAGAGGGGAAAGAAATTTGGCCCTTTTGAATCTGCAAATGCGATCTTGGCTCCGAGCCACGGAGGATACATAGCAGCCCCACTGCGAGTTAAGCCATGTTCCTGACTCAAGCCCTACAGTTAAGAGGAAGGCGCCAAGCCTCAAACACAACGAGGTGGGGAGGCCACTCCTTTCTGGGCAGGATCCTACTGTGGACACAGAAGAGACAGCAGCTGCCCACAGTGTGGAAACAAACTGTAAAGCAGTCACGTCTCTTAAGGCTGCAGCATCCAATAAAATGTAATTTAAATCAAGCCCCGCATCTGTTCTCAATCCCATTCAGTCTCTGCTTTCCATCAGCCTTCGGACAGTCTTTGCAATTATGCTTGTTAACCCTTGTAGCCCCAGACACTCTCGGGCTCCTAGGTATGGAACTGTGTTTTCCACTCACAAATGACCCTCACAGGGAGTGAGTGCTCTAGTCAAGGTGAGAGGGCGAGAATGACATTCAGATTCAGACTCAGACTCGTCTATGGACTGCTCTGCCACACCCACTGGCGGGTGGTGTTCATTTCAGAGGGCTCTCTCTGTGTGTCCTTCTAGCCCATACCATCTGTTGCGGCCCAGATCACATTGCAAGGATACAGTGGGCAGCATGAATGAAACAGTGACCAACAGATCATTTGTACAATATCAAGTTCCTAAACTCAAGTCATGTCAGAGAGGCCAAAGCGCTCAGGGAGCAGCACAGACTTGGTCACTGGCTCTCAGACCATTCCTATCGCACATGGTTTGCATTCCAGGCATCTGCTGGAGTTATACAACATAGCCATCTCCCCAAAGGATCAAACTTACGATTTCTCCCCCTTCCCTCAAAACTACCCCAGCCCCGCTGCCTGAATTTTCAAGGCACTCAGTGTTAGAATGGTGCCCTCTGGTGTCCCCGCCGCAAATTACCACTGAATGCCACTGGAAGCCAAACTCAGAAAAAGGGAGACTTGAGTAGCCATATGGATTAATTTATCTAATAAGACTGGAAAAATCTGAGGTTTTAGATGAAAATCCAACCCCAAATGAGGGCATCTGGAAACAAGCGGCTTCATCTGAGGGCACCTAAGACTGTGGGACAGTCTGGGGAGAAATATTCACATTGTTCGCTGAAAGTTGGAGCTCTCTTGAAATGTGCATGCTTAAAAAGACAAAGAATGCAACTAGGAAATAAATATATTCACAATCCGTACATTTACATTCCTTTCACCACCCCCACAACCTTAGGAGTGCCCAAGAAACTTAATGAGTCTCTAAAATGTCACAGTGTGGAAGTATGTGTGAAGTGAACACAGTATACTCCAAAAAGAAAGAAATTCTTTGATCAAAGTGTCTTCAGATCTCCACGTAGACTTGCTTATTTTCCTGGAACATCCTTTTTCATTCTTCTTACTCTAGCCCCAAAGTTCTTTAAAATACACCAATGTTTGAAGAAACTAAGAGGTAAATACAGGCACATTCCACCATATAAATCCTGTATACTGTAATACAAGCATACTGGTTCGAGACACAAGAGGTGGAGATAGTGAATATAATTAAAAAGAGTCTACTTGGTGATTTTTAATGCATAAAAATAAGACCCAAAATTATTATTGTGTTAATATTCATCAGTCTATAGATTAAAATTTATCAGTTTCACATTAAAAAAGGTCATATTTAGGAGCACCTGGCTGGCTCAGTCAAAAGAGCATGCAACTTTTGTTCGAGCCCCATGTTGGGTGTAGATTACTTAAGATTAAAAAAAAAAAGGTCGGGCGCCTGGGTGGCTCAGTCGGTTAAGCGACTGCCTTCAGCTCAGGTCATGATCCTGGAGTCCCGGGATCGAGTCCCGCATCGGGCTCCCTGCTCAGCAGGGAGTCTGCTTCTCCCTCTGACCCTCCCCCCTCTCATGTGCTCTCTCTCGTTCTTTCTCTCTCAAATAAATTTAAAAAAAAAGAAAAAAAATAAAAATAAAAAAAAATAAAAAATAAAAAATAAAAAAAAAAAGGTCATATTTGTTTTCAGACCTGAATGGATAAAGTACTAAAATGAAGACTCCAGAGCTCTCAACGCCAGCTGGGTACTTTCAGGTAGCATATTAGTATAAAAGAAAATAATTTAAGGCAATCCAGTAGCTAAGATATTTCCAATTAAAGCTTTGTCTTTTAGAGCATGCTCTAATTCCTTCTCTTCAATCTTCAAAGACACCTGGAAAGAAGAGAAAAGGACTTTTCATGGTGGACAACTCACAAAAGCCAAGTTTTTATTACATAAACTTCTACCATGTTGAACTTTTGTCCCGAGAGGCAAGCAAGTTAAACACTGCTTTTTCAATGGCCTGCAGAAAATACCTCATTCAGGGCGCCTGGGTGGCTCAGTTGGTTAAGCGACTGCCTTCGGCTCAGGTCATGATCCTGGAGTCCTGGGATCGAGTCCCACATCAGACTCCCTGCTCAGCAGGGAGTCTGCTTCTCCCTCTGACCCTCCTCCCTCTCATGCTCTCTGTCTCTCATTGTCTCTCTCGCAAATAAATAAAGTCTTAAAAAAAAAAAATTTAAAAAAAGAAAATACCTCATTCATACCACAGTCCCATCCTCACAGATCTTAAACTCTACCTAACAAAAACCAAATTGTTTACCTAACTGTGGTCATATTTAAATAGCAAGAAAAGATAAGCTCTCCAGAACAGGACAATTAAGAGCATTGTCACAAAGAAGCAGTTAGTTGTACCTTTGTGAAGCGGGTTTCCTTGTTTTTCTTTAATCCTAAAATGCCCCTGGCCTCCAAGAGCCCTGAAAGTGACAAACACTCTGACTGGTCCACAGCTGCCACCTGCTGTTTGCGACAGACGTTACTATAGGCTTCGTATAACTGGGAGGAACAAGGGAGAACACAAAAGTTGTTTAAAAGTTCTATCTCTTGTCACCTTAGAGTCTTTTTTAAAAATGTGAATTTGCATTTGTAAAAGTTATCTGAATACCACAGTTTTCCCTCTTTTCAATAAAATCCTTGAACGGGCATTCTGTAGATATTGCCAAAACCTCTACTGTAAGGCAGAAGAGGAGCTTTATATATTTCTTAGGGAGAGGTAGAAAAGAAGGGGAGGAGATGAATGGGAAATTTTCAACCACAACCTAAGGGAAATAAAATCATTTGCCTTTTATATGGGACCAGTATTTATTCTTACTGTTAAAAATCCACTTTTAGGGGCGCCTAGGTGGCTCAGTCGTTAAGCGTCTGCCTTTGGCTCAGGTCATGATCCCAGGGTCCTGGGATTGAGCCCGGCATCGGGCTCCCTGCTCAGCGGGAAGCCTGCTTCTCCCTCTCCCGCTCCCCCTGTTTGTGCTCCCTCTCTTGCTGTCTCTCTCTCTCTCTGTCAAATAAGTAAATAAAATCTTTAAATAAATAAATAAAAATAAAAACCCATTTTTAATTCCTATCAGCTGGAGCATAATAACAGGCCCTTTGGACAATATCTGCTCCGCAAAGCAGTCTCATCTCCACCCCAGTTCCATCTGCTGAGATTCTCAACTCACCTTCCCCAGAGTGACCTCTTTGATTTTTAGCTGCCGGGTCAAGAGCAGCAAAGAGCAGACCAAGATCTTCTGCTGAAGAGGGAAGGAATCTTGTGCTCCTTCTTTGCTCAAAGTCATTCTGTTACCATCAACTTCTGAGATGACTTGG